TTTTCACTAGACGGCCGCCGATGGTTTCCGCAATTTTCTCCAAAACCTCCTTGTCATAATACTCGATACTGAGCTCCGGGAGCCGAATCCAGACATCAACGAAAGGAATCGAGGCCTCGGAGGGCTTGAAATTGGGAATCCATGGGAATACATAGATGCAAAGGTGAGGAATCGACCATGGACGCTCTTCAAGGGCTTCGTAGTAGTCTAAAGCGTTGGAGAATTTGAGCACGAAAAATCCAAGCCCTAGCTCGAAGACGTCCAAATCTCCAGCGAGATGAAGATTACGGCGAAGACGAACGGCGAGCTGCCGTGGATGAATCTTCTTACCGACGACCCAAACAATGAGAGACTGATCGAACTGTTGGTTGATCCGAGCTGTTTGAGAGGGAGTGAGGTTACAGACGGTGGCGCCGATGGTACTGGCGGCCGCTCCGTCGTTGCCGGCGCCGGTATGGCGGCTGAAGTGGAAATGTTTGGATTGAACCGCCATGAACAGGGGATTGGATTTCGCAGTTGAAAATGATTGACATGTCGAGGAACTGGATCGAAACTTGTAAACGAAGGGAGACAGAAATCTTGTTCCATTTTGACTTTGTGAAACCTATCGAAGTTTCTATGGAAAGCTTCTCCACCCGAATGTTCTTCTGCACTTCAGCAGAAATTTAAGGCACGTACGGACGCTCTCTTTTTCATTCTTGAATATACGTGTATTTTTCTTTTTAAAAAAATTATAATACCCAGAATATTCCTTATTTATGTAATAAAATTAATATTAAATTTTAAAAAAAGACACTATAATTATTTTTGTTTTATTAACTTTTTTTTTAATAATTATAAAAACATTACATTTAAATGTTTGTTTCGATCTAATGAAATTAAAAAAATAAAAAAAACACAAATTAATTAATGTTAGTCAATTTAGGAAAGTGTTGAGATTAGGAAGATAATAAAATTTATTATATAAATATAAGGCTAAGAATTTAATTGGTCGTAAAGTAGTTTAGTTAATGAGCAGCTGAGCTGTTTGCTGTCATGTTTTGTAATTATCTTTTTACTTAAGATAATTAAAATTTGTCAATAATTAACTAATTAAATCATGACTGATTTTCATCATTAATACTAAAATATAATTATAGTATTATTATGCCAATTAATGTCACATAAAATAATTCAAACAATTTTAGTTAATTTACAGGAGGATTAAGAGTGGTTGCCCAATTCAGCTGCTATGAAAGTTCATCGACTAACTCAAACAATAGGTATTAATTTCTAAGATTTTACAGTAGATTCTTTCAGAATTTTCATCGATTCTAATTGTTTTAAGATATCTCGAACAGGGTAGCTCTGTTTTACGATGACAACATACAATAGCCTACCTAAAAGAGCAACCATGTCGTGTATGACCAAGCTATGTAAGATTCCCATCATGTCGTGGTGTATGACCAAGCTCCGTAAGATCCAATAAAAATAGGTGATATATAAGACATAATTAAGATCTTTTATCTATTTCACTTAGTACTTGTCCGTAGGTAAGGAGGTAGGATAGTCTAGTCTAGTCTCGTCTTATTCTCGCTTTCACCCTCGATTGCAAAGATGCATGCGATATGAGGGAAAAAAAGCAAGTTGGAAGGAATCATGACAAGTCAGGGTAGAGCCTCGGAGTCGACCCAAGCGAAGATCGACACTCGAAGGCTTCTTATGACTTGTAAGAAATCTCACACGAACAGCAAAGTTTTCTTGAAGATCGTTAAGCAAATGCCTATGAATATCAAAATCTAAGTCAGCTGCACAATGCAATGTAAAGAGACAATAGCACTTGCTAGAAGAAATGAACAAAGGAGAAAGAAGAAATGGGCACGAGATTTACGGTGGTTCAGCAGTTCATGCCTAGATCCACTTCCAATAATCCACTATTTCATCAACAAATTAACAGCATCTCAAACATAAAAGCTATGTCTTTCAAGGCAATCTCAGAAAATCAAGAACACATAAGCAATAAGTAAGCAAGCAATACCATTGTTGGGTTTATAGATACCTAAGGAAATGACTTCCCTCATCAGTATGCCACTGAACTCATCCAGTTCGTCGAAGTATAGAAGAAAGTCGATCCCCATGGTCCCGACGATGTTTCGGTATCGACGTTCGGAGGACAAAACGCAGGTCTATTGGTATTGGAACCAAAATATACTGATGCAGAAACCTGTTGTGGGCTGTATGAATCGACTTCAATATGAACATCTTGCCGGGACAATAACAGCCAAACACCACCATTGTAACCATCAGGCTTTCTGCAGTACGAACCGCAGAACGAGAGCTCCCGCACGACGAGTTCAGCTTCAGCACCACTGATTTTGGTGCCAAAGATCAGCACAATGGACGGCTCGTGTAGCTGAATCAGATCTTTCAATGCTTGCATTAGATTAGCATTGTCCGTCCCATGAAACTTCCAGCACAACATCTTCTTAGAACATGATTCTGATCCCGATACCGTCTTCGAACCATCTCCATCTTCGTCTACACATCTTGCAGTTGGAAGAGTGTCCATTGTATAATGATTTCGGTTCGATATGGAGTTGGTTTGCAATGCTGACAAATTCATTTTAAAGCTTCTGATCTTCTTTGTGTTGATTGTGTGAACAATGGGGCAGCCATCGACTATGATCTCCTTAGATGGTATGTCGGGCATCTCTTTCTCTTTCGTCGAGCGTCGAATCACAGCCGAAATGAAGTCAAGGGTCGCCTTTGGAACAAGACATGGTTGATTATTATGGTCTGCAATCGAGGTGGGGTTGCTGGTTTTTGCAGGCTTGAACTGATGTTCAACAACAGCAGGGGCTACAAGTTCTAACTCAGGAGCTTTGTTGGTTTTTGTAGAAGGTTTTTTCGGCAATTTGGGCAATGATCGAACAGGATCTCCACATAACTCCTTGGGCTTTGCAGCTGCTTTATCCTTCACATGAACATGAGGAGAACTAATTCTTATACTTGGACTTGCCTTTTCACATTCATCAAGCAACAGGTCATTTTCAAGAACTTGGAATCTTGATCCACAAGCCGATGCTGGTGAAGATACAGAAGGAATCAATGGCTGCTTCGAGCTAGAACTCGACCCTAATTCCAGTAGAGGACGAGTTCTGTGGTGGTGGGTGGGTCTATCTCCTAGGGTATCTAATCCAGAAGAACCAGGAGGATTACCCGAATTCAAACAATTTTGTTTCAAATCATGAACAAGTCTACAGTTAGGGCACAACAAATCCAAACCCTCATACTCAATTTTCTGTTGAATTCTACCAAGTTTGATCATAGATGGAAGGGGATCGCACAAATTTACCCTAATACAGATACGAGCGAACTTACATTTCCTGCGATTTTTCGTTACTGGATCGAACTTAACAAGAACACCGCCGATGGTCGCCGCTATTTGTCGAAGAATCTCTTCATCGTAGTATTCGATGGAGAGCTCACGGAGGCGAATCCAGACATCAACAGAGGAATTGATGGCTTCGGAGGGTTTGAAATCGGGAGTCCATCGAAAGGCGTAGATGCAGAGATTAGGGATTGACCAGGGTAAGTCTTCTAGGGCAAGATAGTCGGTCTCAGAGAATTTGAGCACGAAGTAGCCGAGACCAAGCTCGAAAACCTCCACGTCTTGGGTGAGATGAAGATGACGGCGAAGGCGACCGGCGAGTTGCCGTGGGCGGATGTCTTGTCCAAAAACCCAAGCTATGAGGGAGTGATCGAACTGTCGAGTGATCCGAGCTGTTTGTGAGGGTGAGAGATTGCAGACAGTTGCGCCGGTGGTTGAGCGATGAGATTCTAAGTCCGATGAGGAGGCCATCAGTGGTCTCTTAGCCTTCTTTCTGCTCAGGTAGGTTCTTGCGGCTGCTTCGTCGTCGCCGGCGCCGGTGGGTTGGAGGTCGGATTGCGAACAGTTTGATGGAACTGTCATCGTTACTTGCTAGGTTCTGATGGTTGTCGGAATTGAAGCTTGTTGAAGAAGCAATATACAGTTCTCCATTTCTTCCCTTTTCAAATTTCTTTCAAATTTCTTAGAATTTTCTTGGATAACATGGGCCAATAGAATCGTAACACGTGTTTGTTGTTCAATATTTATTATTTTATTTTCCTTTTGCTGACTCGTCCGTCTATAATTGAAGCTTCTAGGTAAAAATTACTTTTTTAATTAAATTTTTTTATTTAAAAATTAGTTTTTGATTATTTTTTAGTCCATAAAAATATGCCCTTTCCTAATATTTGAAATTGAATTTTGTTCAATTTTATTTTAATTAAAAAAAAAAACAATCAAAATCTTTATCTACCCCTTGGTTTTTTTAATTATTTTTTTATGATTATTATTATTATTATTATAGAAACTAAATTTATAATTAATCAATCAAATAATAATTAAAAATTAAAATAGGAATGCCAATTTAATTAATTAACGGAGACACAATATGGAAAAAAGATTCTTTATTTAATGGGAGAGAGAGTAATATTTTTTCAGTTACATAAAGGAGGCTAAGAACCAGATTATATTGAAAGACTTGTTGTTCGTTCTGGTTTAGACTATGACTTCTGAACTTCTTCCACTCCTCTTCTTGTTTGGCTGCTTCGCACCTTTCCTCTTCGTTCTCGCTCGCATATTCAATTCTCCCTTTTATTAAAAGAAAATAAATTAGTTAATTTTGAGACTCTAACAATAATATTTGAACGGTATTGTAATTTTCTTTTAATTGGTAAAGGTTATGTTGTAATATTAAATTTTAATTTTTTTAAAATGAGGTAGAAGAATGTTATATATATATATTCTTTTGAAATACATTAATTCATTAAAGTTTTTTTTTTTATTTTATAATTTTTGTAATAAAGTTTATATGACAAATAAAGATCCCTAAAAATTCTTGCAAAAATAATTACCTCGAACGGGGAAAATTTTTCGTTCAAATATATATTTTTTCAATAAAACAATTATCTTGAACATATTTTTCAGATTTTTGTTGAAAATGCTTCAAAAATAATCTCCAAGAAACCCATTCTCTCTCGATATTCGACGACCCAGTTCGTCTAATGGTTCCCTCTTTCAGAATGAAGCCTCCCTTTCTGCCATTTTAGGGGGGAAAAGATCCACACTTCAATCCATCTTCCATGGCGTTCTTCTGTAACTTCAATCGGGCTATAATGTCGTTGCCCCAATTCACTTGGCTCATTTAACATGGTGCTTGTGGATCATTCATCTGGGATTTTCGTGATTCGCTCAACCCACGATTTAATCGTACGTTTTCAACCCTAAACACTCCCATCTTCTCTTTCATTCCTTCCCCAATCTGATACGCTTGATTTTGTCTAGCTTCATAGAAACCAAGAAAATGGCTAATGCTATGTGCTTGATCCGGCAAATGGCTGCGATCTCGCACCCTCGTAGAAATCTATGTAGTTTTCCTGTCCAAAATACCAATTTTCCCCTTATCGCGAATGATGTTTGTACCCAATTTATTTTCTTCTCTACCGCTCACCCATATGATCACAACGACGACACCGTTCGCGAAATCTCCACGATTCTGAAGCTTAGCGATTGGCAGGTCGTCTTGGACAATCAGAATAGTTTGAAGAAGCTAAACCCAGAAATCGTCCGCTCTGTTTTGCAGAAGAATGAAATCAACGACCCTGTACGGCTTCAAAGTTTCTTCTATTGGTCGAGTTCGAGAATGGGCACCCCACAAAACTTGCATTCTTATTCAATTCTTGCGATTCGTCTTTGTAACTCTGGGCTTTTTCCCCGTGCCGATAACATGTTTGAGAAAATGCTTGAGACCCGTAAGCCGCCATTGGAGATTTTGGATTCCTTGGTTAAGTGCTATAGAGAATGCGGTGGATCTAACTTGATTGTTTTTGATATTTTGGTTGATAACTTTAGGAAGTTTGGTTTTCTGAATGAGGCCTGTAGTGTTTTTCTAGCTTCCATTAGTGGTGGGTTCTTTCCCAGCTTGATATGCTGTAATAGTTTGATGAGGGATTTGTTGAAGGGTAAAATGATGGGATTGTTTTGGAAGGTGTATGGTGGTATGGTGGAGGCCAAGATAGTCCCTGATGTTTATACATACACCAATGTGATCAATGCACATTGTAAAGTTGGTGATGTTATGAAGGGTAGGATGGTTCTCTCTGAGATGGAGGAGAAGGGATGTAAACCTAATTTGGTCACCTACAATGTAGTTATTGGGGGTCTATGTCGGACCGGAGATGTCAATGAAGCTTTAGAGGTAAAGAAGTTGATGATGGAGAAGGGGTTGGTTCCGGATGGCTTTACTTATTCTATACTCATTGATGGGTTTTGCAAACAGAAGAGATCAGAAGAAGCAAAATTGATATTGGAAAGTATGCTTGGTTCAGGTTTAAATCCTAACCATATTACCTACACTGCTTTGATTGATGGGTTCATGAAACAAGGGAATATTGAAGAGGCATTAAGGATCAAAGACGAGATGGTCACTCGGGGACTTAAGTTGAACATTGTAACTTATAACACATTGATCAGGGGCATTGCTAAGGCTGGTGAGATGGAGAAAGCAATGGCTCTTGTTAATGAGATGTTTATAACTGGCATAGAATTGGATACTCAGACCTACGACTTGTTAATTGATGGATATTTGAAATCTCACAATAAGGACAAAGCTTATGAGCTACTAGCTGAGATGAAAGCAAGGAATTTGATGCCATCGTTGTACACTTATAGCGTGCTTATTAATGGTCTATGTCGTTCCCGTGAGCTGCCAAAGGCTAATGAAGTTTTGGAGCACATGATCAGCCACGGAGTGAAACCGAATGCTGTTATATATGCTACCCTGATCAATGCTAATGTCCAAGAAAGTAGATATGAAGGTGCAAAAGAAGTACTAAAAGGGATGGTAAAAAATGGGGTCGTACCGGATTTATTTTGCTATAATTCTCTTATAATTGGTCTTTGCAGGGCAAAAAGGGTGGAAGAAGCTAAAATGATGTTTGTTGAAATGGGTGAGAAAGGAATAAAGCCCAATGCATATACTTACGGAGCATTTATTCATTTATATTGTAAAACAGGTGAAATCCAAGTAGCAGAGAGGTATTTCCAAGACATGTTATCTTCACGTATAGTTCCTAACAATATAATCTATACTGCACTGATTGATGGGCATTGCAATGTCGGAAACACAGTAGAAGCTTTGTCAACTTTCAAGTGCATGCTCGAGAAAGGATTGATTCCTGATGTTCAAACATACGGTGCACTGATTCACGGTCTCTCCAAGAATGGGAAAACCGAAGAAGCAATGGTGGTTTTCTCTGAATACCTCGACAAGGGCTTGGTGCCGGACGTTTTTATATACAACTCTCTTATATCTGGTTTCTGCAAGAAAGGTGAAATTGAGAAGGCATCCCAACTTTATGAAGAGATGCTTCTCAAGGGACCTAATCCCAACATTGTCATATACAATACCCTGATTAACGGACTGTGCAAGCTTGGTGAGATAAAGGATGCAAGGGAACTTTTTGACAAAATTGAAGGAAAAGGTTTGGTCCCTAATGTTGTGACTTATTCAATAATCATAGATGGATATTGCAAATCTGGAAACTTAACTGAGGCGTTTAACCTGTTCGATGAGATGATATCAAAAGGAGTTCCTCTTGACCGTCACATCTACTGTATCCTCATTGATGGTTGCTGCAAGCAAGGAAATTTGGAGAAGGCACTTTCGTTATTTCACGAAGCACTGCAGAAAAGTGTTGCTTCCCCTTCTGCTTTCAACTCTTTGATCGATGGTTTCTGCAAACTGGGAAAGTTGATTGAAGCTAGGGAGTTGTTCGATGATACGGTTGATAAACATGTGACACCGAATAGTGTGACGTACACAATTCTGGTCGATGCATACAGCAAAGCAGAAATGATGGAGGAGGCAGAGCAGCTTTTTCTAGATATGGGAACTAAAAATATCATGCCAAATACTCTTACGTATACTTCTCTTTTACTCGGTTATAATCGGATAGGACACAGAATTAAGATGATTTCTTTGTTCAAGGATATGGAAGCTAGGGGAATTGCTTGTGATGCAATTACCTACGGTGTGATGGCTGATGTCTACTGCAAGGAAGGAAATTCTCTTGAAGCCTTAAAGCTGCTCGACAAAAGCTTGGTTGAGGGTATAAAGTTGGATGGTGATGTGTTTGATGCATTAATATTTCACTTATGCAATGAAGGAAAAAATTCTACTATGCTGAAGCTACTCGGTGAAATGGCCGAAAAGAAACTCGCTCTTACCTCTACTACATGTACTGCTCTGTTGATTGGTTTTTACAAGGCAGGTAATGAAGACAAAGCTTTAGAGGTTCTTGACATTATGCAAAGGTTGGGGTGGGTTCCAGATTCTTTAAACGTAGTTGATTTAGTAAATGCTAGGAAAAACGATATGAATTCTGAAAGCTTCCCAAGTGATGCAATGCAAGTAGGGTCGGTGTAGTCCGATTCGCACTGTCGTTTGGCTACTATCTGGCCTGGCATAATCTGCATATGATGATGTGAAATGTCTGGTCGTAAAAAGGATGAGCCTCTGTTTTGCAATGTACGATCTCTCGCCTTCTGTTTGGTCACCGAATCGAGAAACTCAATGCTGAAATGGAAGGAGAAAAATCTGCAGGCAACTCGAACTGAACTCGAGTTTTGTTTTCATTCCTCCTGTAGTTACACCTCAACACTCGTTGCAGGTCCATTTTTCTTTTCCATGCCCTCTCATCCTTCACAGCTAGAAATGTTTGCTGAATCAATATGGTTGCTTTCATATCATGTTTTCTTGCATACTTATCGAAGTTTTCATCATCAATTTTGTTTTTAAGGCGTGCAACAAACGACTTCTTCTACTCGATCTTGGGCAGTCCATCGAAAATGGTGGTACGTGACTGATATTATTACGCTGTTACTTCGGATTAGAGCAATGGTTCATAAAATATTAGCGGTATGCTTTGCTTTCATCAATATCTTGATATAATCTCTCGTGTTTTCAACGTTTTCTTGTTCTTAGATTTGAGCTGTCTTAAGCATAGATTTGAAGTGTGGGTTATTTTCTTGACTGCAGACATGAGAATTTTGAGCATTCTATCTCAAGTAGCAGTTAAAATGGTCATCAGAGGGATTCCAAGTTAGACACTTAAAATATAGTACAGAAAGAAGAAAGAACCTAACATGAAAAGGAAGAATCTGACAAGATGAGCCAAAATTGACCGCCTGCTTCCATGGAAACCAAATAAGAAGGCCATGGAAGATTTGCAGGCAGGTCATTTTTGGCTTACCCAATAAGACCCGACCATCCATGGTAGATCTTCTTCTTCTTCTTCTTCTCTTCCAAACTCAATTAGTTGCAGAACATACAGATTTGCTACTCACACACATATATATATGTAGTTGCATTGCTGACATTTTGATAGAATATATTCAATTTTTTGGGTTGCATGGTTGACTCAACCAGCTAGCTAGAAATCTTGTTCTTACTGTTATTCCTTTTTGTAAAGTCAACTGTAGTGGACGATTTTGGTCCCTCAATCAATTCTGTTTTCTGACAGCTCGTTGAGATTTGCTTTGTACGTTGTTCGGGAAATTACATTCTACTGTCAATGACAGCTTCAGGACTAATTAATAACATTTGTGTTTGGGATTTATGCATTTAGCTTTATAGAAAATGAAATTCTTTACTCTTTCTAACCATCCACGTCCAAGCTCACCGCTAGTACATACTGTCTGTTTTTGCCAGTTACATATCACTATCAGTCTCACAGTTTTAAAATGCATCCATTAAGGAGAGGTTTCTACATCCTTATGAAGAATGCTTCGCTCCACTCTCCAACCGACGAGAGATCTCACAATCTAACCTCTTTTGGGACCCAGGTTCTCGCTGGCACACTGCCTGGTGTCCATCTCCCTTCGGGGCTCAATGTCTTCTTTGACACATTGCTCGGTGTTTGGCTCTTATACTATTTGTAACCGTCTAAGTTTATTGCTAGCAAGTATTGTTTTTTTTAGGCTTTCCCTTTTGGGCTTTCCGTCAAGGGTTTTAAAACATGTCTATTAGAGAGTTTTTAAAATGTCTCTACTAGAGAGAGGTTTCAATATCAATTTTATCCATCCAATCAGCAAGACGGATTAGATCTCATCTATGATCCTTAAGACATAATTTATGTCGATGATTTATAGCAAACACAAAACTCAGAGTTCAAGAATTTATTATAAAATTGCGGGATTTAAACCAGACACTCGTTCGAGTAACTTTATAACTTAAATTATACATATGAAGAAGAAAAAAAGTACTAAACTTTGAAACAACATGCCTACTGAGAAACTTAAGTGTTGTTGGCAGAAGACAGTAGCTAGAATATTTGGTCGATTAGAGTTGACTTACAAAAAGGAATAATTTTAAGAAGCAAAATTCTAGCCATTTGAGTCAACCATGCATCCAACCAGAACATATTCCTTAATAATGTCAAAAAAACCAAGCAAAAGCTCAGGCATGGGCAATGCAGCAGTGTGTATATAAAGACTACAATCCTCTCTGTTTTACACAAGTAATCGAGTGCAAGAGAAGAAGAAGATGGACCTAATATGGAGGATTGAGTAGGAACCCATCTTTTGCCTTACCTTCTTACACTCTTTTCCTTTCATCTTACCTTCTTTCTTCCTTCTTATAAACCCCAATTTTCGTTTCGAGCGTTGCAAACGTTCAATGAAAAGAAAGAGTGGTTTCGTGTGACGGGAAGAGTGACTGTTTGATAGCCAAAAATGACTTGCCTTCTATATTAAATCAATCTATGATGCTTTAAAGCATGATATGGATTTGATTGTACGGGGCAGTCATTTTGGCTAAACTAACGAACTCTTCTCCATCATACTAAATCACCTCTTTCATAAGTTTGAAGAAAATTCACGTGAGATCTCACAGAATAATCCATAGAGAACAATATCTATTAATTGTGGACTTGAGCCATTATACTATTACAAATGGTAATAGAGAGGCAGACACTTGAGGAGTGTGCCAGCACAAATGGTAAACCTAGTCCTAATCAAAGGCGGTTATACATACATATATATGTGTATATATATATACAATAATAAAATAAAAAAATAAAAAAAAAAACTCTAATTTTGCCATTTTGGTTTTTTAATTACATTATTTCTAAAATTAATCTGAAAATTTATGGGAAAGTATTTTATATAATTTAAGCTCAATTTTTTGGTGCGCCTTTCCTTTTGTTATTCTTGTAGAGTTGGCAAAACCTTCGCCGCCGCGCCACTTTCTGCGTCTTCCTTCTCTTCAGTCCTAAAACCCTTCCCAACCTTGCCGCCGCCGCCGCCATCCCTTGTTCCTTACCGCCGAAACCTCGCCCATCGACCTGCCTCCTGCTCCTGGAAAAACCTACGAACTTATTCGAATTGAACCGACTTGCACCGATAATCTAAACTAGCATTCTAAGACTGCAATATCCTTTCGCTCAGCTGTCTAGATGGAGTTTGTGAGCCCTGAAGGACTTCGCTTGGACGGTCGTCGTCCCATGGAGGTAGTTCCCCTTCTCATTCTCTTGTTTAATGCCTCTTCTTCCTTATTTGAATTCTTCACTCCTGTTCCGCTCAATTTTTTACTTTATTGTTTAATTTTAGATGAGGCAAATCCGAGCAGAAATTGGCGCCGTTTCTAAAGCAGATGGGTACTTACTTTCACTTCTATGAACTGAATGATTCTTGAAAATGGCTGTCTCTTCCTTTCTTTTTATCGAAGACTAAGTAACGGAATGTCATCACTTTTCTCCTGATTTAGTTCTGCTTTATTTGAGATGGGTAACACCAAAGTTCTTGCTGCTGTATATGGTCCAAGAGAGGTATAATAGTTCAGCAATTATTGTATGTACCTCGTTGAAAAAATCTATGAACATAAGAACTTATAGAGCTGTGTATTTTTCTTGTATTAATCCATTTGGGTATTTATGTTGAAGGCTTCTACTGTATTGTTGGAATTAATTCCTTTGTTGCTTATGTAGGTTCAGAATAGGAGTCAACAAATGAGCAACCAAGCACTGGTTGAACTTTCTACTGGATGCTCTTGTTTTGAAGTTTGAATTCTTAATGTGCATTAGTAACCCATTGTTGAATCCTTGATCTCTTTCAGGTGCGTTGCGAGTACACCATGGCTAATTTCAGTACTGGAGATCGCATGAGAAAGCCCAAGGGTGACAGGTTATTTATTTTTAATCTGTGTTTGTGTGTGTGCACTGCCATAATTGTGAATGATTATAGTTGATTGAATTCCATTAAATAGAAGTATGGTCAATATTCATATCTTGAAACATAAGAAATTTGTAACCATGAAAGATAGCAGTTAGGTTATTTCTTGTTCAATTTTGATTTGGTGTCACCAGATGGAACAAATTAAAAACATCAGTAAAAGAACTATGATAAAGATGTTTTTATATCTATTTGGTTTAATGCTGTAATTTGTATTAAATTATGGCATTTTTCACAATCAGGCGATCGACAGAGATATCTTTAGTCATTCGCCAGACAATGGAGGAATGCATTCTAACACATTTAATGCCTCGATCTCAGGTTTTCGACAATAATCTTACGAGCTGCTCCTCTATGATTTTAACCTTCATCTTTTCTCATTTTTTTTTTGTTACGTGCAGATAGATATTTTTGTCCAAGTTCTTCAAGCAGATGGAGGTATAGTTAAAGTTAATGATCAAGTCTATCAGATGTAGCTCTTCATATTATTAGTTCTAGTTCAGATATTTTTAGGCCATATTATCTTTTCTTGCCATCTTTCTTTATATTTGTTATTTTCTTCAAGCATTCCTTTTACAAAATAGATGATTAAAGTTTTTCTGTACTCTCTCCCTGCTATCTTCTTCTATGTGCTTCCTTTATGCCAAAAGTTCGAAGCCTGCAAGTATATTTTTTCTCACTACCCAACCTCTCAGAAGGCAGCTCTTTTTAGGCAATTCCCTTAAAAAACAAGGCTGATGCTCTATGGGAATATGTAGTCAAAGGCATTTCATAGGAAACTTGACTTGAGAGAGAAACAACTACATATCAAAGTATTCAAAGACTCGAGTAGAGACATAAATGAAATTTGAGATATGAGCAATTTTAAAGCTTCTTCGTGGTCTTTCACCTCCATTTTTGTTGTAATTAAAATGTTTCTATTTCCTAAAAAAGTCAACGTTGACAGAGGAACTATTTATAATCCCATTGGCCTAAGCAGGCCGATGCCTGACTTCATATTAATTGTTTCTTCATTTCCTTTTTGATGGAAGAAAATTATGGCTTCTATTGTTTTTGCTTTCAAAGAATACACTTAATTTCTATCATTTTATTCATAAGCTGCAACTAGAGTGTCTATGCATTGTATAATGTTCTGTCTTCAGTGGTTATGATTTGAAGCATCTTGTGAAACATCATTAGTTTATGTACTTCCCTTTCTTTACATGCTGATCTGAAAGATTTCTTGTTTATAGGTACCAGATCAGCATGTATTAACGCTGCAACTTTGGCACTTGCTGATGCTGGAATTCCCATGCGAGATATTGTTACTTCCTGCAGTGCTGGATACCTTAATAGCACTCCTCTGCTAGGTAATTTAATGTAACTTGTCTGCTGCACCAACATTTGGTTTTCCTTCTTTTTTGTTTTTTTTTCTCTCTCTCTCAAAATGTTGTTTGGTTTAACTAGAACTATTATGGATTGAAATTATGATATGGGCAGATTTGAATTATGTAGAAGATAGTGCTGGTGGCCCTGATGTCACTGTTGGCTTTCTACCTAAATTGGATAAAGTTACTCTTCTTCAGGTTCATTAACTTCTACCTTTCCTTCTTCTCCTCTCTCTAGTGTAATCTGTCATTTTGGTGATTTTGTGAGACTCAGTATTTAAAACCAAATTGATTAGTTTTGTTTGTCCTCTCCCTATCCTTTTGCTCTGCTTCCAATTTTATATATATTATATTCTGTAATATTAAACTAGTCTTCTCTAGTTACCACAATCCATACATTTTGACATGAACATTTGGTGCAGATGGATTCTAAATTACCTGTTGATATATTTGAGAATGTCATGCAACTTGCAATCGAGGGCTGCAAAGCCGTAGCTAATTACATTCGAGAGGTAAGGTCTCCATGATTCTTCTTCTCATTTTCTTTTTTCCTTAAATCCTTACAAATGGACATTGTTATTGAATCAAATTCCCCATAGTGTGATTGGTGAGGGTTGGATTATTCAAAGTTTCTGCTGTTTTTGTTGACAGGTAATGTTAGAGAGTACCAAAAAGCTCGAATATTGCCGTGGAGCATAGCCAAAACGGTTTTCAGGCATTCTTACACAAAGGAAGGAATCTTCAGGTGTGTTCTAACTTCAGTAATGGACTGGAGAACTTTTCAGAAAAGATGTCATGTTAAGTTGGTGATATGAAGTAGTAACTGGTGCCCTTTTTTTCCCATCTTCCAGTTTGTTGAATTAATGTCTTGCCCTGATGTACAGAATATGTTTAGCTTGGGTTGGCTAATTTGAATTTGCCCACAAAATTTATATGAAGGGGCCTTCAACAAGAAGTTAAAACAATTGATGCTGTAATGATCTTATTATCATAAACTGCATTATTAGAACCGAATCAACATGTGCCGACTTAAGTTTGTTCCTTTTTCTAGTGACTAAACCAAAATAGATTTACACAATTTATCAACTTCAACTCTTTTTAACTGGATATACTGTTAAATATACTGTTTCTGTTGTTGATCATAAGTATGCAAATTCAAATTAGCTCACTGCAATATTGACTTCTAAACTGAGGATATGTCAATTTCGTGTTTAGACTGAGAATTATGACGATATAGGAGACAGATTGTGAAGATAGAGAATCGAGAAGGGCTTGAACGTAGAGCTTCGGTCTTAGCTAGTTTATAGAGTTATTTAATGAGTTTTTTCAAAAACCGCTTACATATAATCGAATCGAGTGAGATATATACGCTCTAAAATACAAATGTTGAGAAGTTTGTGCACTGAAATATAATAACAAGTACTATGTATTTATATAAATATATATATATATATATATATATATATAATTTTGGGTTATGAAATTTTAGATTATTTTGTAGATTTATTAATTTTGAGATATTATTATATTAAAAAGTATATAGGTTTTATCATTTAGATAGAATTAGGCATATTTTATTTTAAGATTTGAGATTCCTAAGAGTTTATTGATTTTAAGTACGAGAGAATTTAATTAATTAATTCGTTTAAAATTCGGATTTTACCATTTATCATTTGGGCCTAAAACCCTTCGGCCCATTTCACTTCCTCTTCTGCTTTTCCGGCTTATAAAGTTGAGACACCTTTACCTTTTGACTCTTCTGCGCGTGGTTGCGTTACTGTGTTAGAGAGAGAGCGAGAGAGAAGAGAGACAGAGAGAGGAGAGAGATGTCGTACTTGCTGCCGCATCTTCACTCTGGATGGGCCGTTGATCAGGCAATCCTCACCGAAGAAGAACGCCTTGTGGTTATTCGTTTCGGTCATGACTGGGACGAGACCTGTATGCAGGTCTTTCTCTTTCCCTACTTCACAATTATTGTTGTTCATCATCAGATTTAATCATAATCCTTTTGTGTATATCTCTCCCTACCCCCTGTTTCTTCTTGTTGCTTCTACTGAACTGATATTTGTTCTGTTTCGGCTTTTAATTTCATAATATAAGACTCATTTTTTTCAGTTCTTGGAGTCTATCAAGTCTCGGTCGGTCAAGGATTTTTCTTTTTCTATTTTTGGGTTTTCTTTAATCTGGGCTTGATTTTTGTATGTATGCTTGCCTCAATTGACCAATTTTCTGAGTTTTATGTGCAATTTTTAGAATTGGTTGCTCGATCTTCTCTGTTATCATCATCTGTTCTGTTGCAATTGTGCTCCTCGCTTTCTATAATCATGCTTTCCTATGTATTTGAGCACATCATTCCTATTATGTACCTGAAATGAAGTTATTAAACGACTTTCCTATTGATCTTTAATAATCCAGTCTTTGATTGTTGTTGCTGTATGCACGAGGTTTTCCGTGCTAGCGGGATGATCAAAGTTTGAGTTCATGGGCCATCTAGACTCTTTTTTGGTGTATGATTTGTTTAGAGTCTTTTCCCCCTTGTTTTTGTTGCACGGAGCCACAATCCTTCCATCGTGAATGTTTAAAGTCATGAAGATTTTTTCACATAATTTGTTTGGTTTACTCTACGTGATCATCTTTATAGTATTTTGAGATGTTATTATCTGATTGGTATGTTTTTAATATAGATGGATGAGGTGTTGGCCTCAGTTGCTGAGACGATAAAGAACTTTGCAGTAATATACCTTGTGGATATCACTGAGGTTCCTGATTTCAACACAATGTACGAGCTGTATGATCCTTCCACTGTCATGTTCTTCTTTAGGAACAAGCACATAATGATTGATCTTGGTACTGGTAACAACAATAAGATAAACTGGGCCCTCAAGGATAAGCAAGAGTTCATCAATATCATTGAAACAGTCTATCGTGGAGCAAGGAAAGGACGTGGTTTAGTCATTGCACCTAAGGACTATTCAACCAAATATCGCTACTAAGACGTTCTGCTGCTTCTGCAAGTTCTTATTGATCTTAAATTTTAGAGATCGCGTCTCGAAAATGTGTACTCTATGACATTATTCGCTCGTGAAAAGGATATGGTTTATTTTGGATGTCATTGTGTGCCATGACTTCTCAAAACATTTGATCACTGTTGGACCTCTGATGAGGGAATATAACTGTTTATGGTAAACAAGTCTTTTGATCAGGTATGTTTTGGTTGAATAAGTTGTTTTCCGATCTATTGATGATGTTATTTGATTACAATAGTTGGTATGAAAATGAACACTGAACTGCCTGGTTTATGAACTAAAAGGGTATGAACACTGAACTTCTAATACACTTTGTTTCATAATTCTGTCATTTGTGATCACATATCCATTTTTTTTCTGGTATAACTAATAGCCATACATGCAGCTTCTATTTTCTGGAAAATTTTGCTCTGTAATTCTTCAATGCCTAATCTTTCTTCCAATCATTTCGACCATTCCTATCACTGCTATTCCAATGACATACCAAGTGACTCCTCTTTGTATAAGCTGCATCCAATGACTATTAACAAACTCCAGTGCCACAGAACCTCCGATGTGCTCCTTCAAGCCGCTGGCACCATCATCTGTCACCATTTGCTGGATTACTGTGGTTGCAACTATCGATATCAAGACTGGTAATGCCAATCTCATGGGGCTAGTATGATCACCACCACCCACTTCAAAATCAAGGTCTTTTGATTCTTTGCTACGTTTGGTCTCCACCCTTGGATTTGAGATTGTGCTTATTGGAGTTTGAGTTGAGACTGGAAGTGCAAGGGTGGTCGGAACCCAGTAATCGTCCGTTATGTATTTTGTTGTAGTTCCATTTCTGTCTTCGGTTTTTGCCTTGAGTTGTTTCCTTGCAGTAATAGCAGCTTGAAGTTTGTTGATTTGTGGTGTGGATTTGTTGACGACGAGCGTCAGGTTTTGACTGTGTTTTGATCCGGTGGCTGTCTGCCAAAATAAGCAATTTGAGATTGATCTGATAGCTTGAATTGCAGACAACTGTGCTTTGTTCTCGAAGGTTGTCCCCTGATAAACAATCATACAACTCGATCACGGTTTGAACGATTTTAAGTTAATGGTGATGTTGAACCATTCACGTTAGAATATTTTGTGTCTAACCTTGACATGCTGTTTTGAAGTCTTCTCCATAGCTTCCTTGAATCTGGTTTGGAACTTCTTCACGTCTGTGAAAATGTTTGACACTCTTTCACCAGCTGCGTTGCCCATACCGACTCTTACGTTTCCACGTGGTTGCTTTGACATTAAGAACTCTAGGGCTGCCAAATCTGACCTTTCCACCATCCTGGATTTAATTTGCCAAGAACAAGGAAAAAACTTATTAGAAAATCAGAAGAATATTGGACAAGTTATAAATGGTTGATTAAGCACTCACGAAATGCAGTCAACTGGGCAAGCTTCAATGGCCTCCATCACTTTATATTCGGGATCAGCCCACTGCGCCACAACTCTAGCTCTCCCATACACAGATTCGACAGCAAAAGTTTTCCCAGCAAATAAAGCACATTTCAAGCAGCCAATGCACTTCACTTCATCTACAAAAACCGCCCTTTGTTCGCTTTCCGATCCTAACCATACCGAATAAACCGACTTCCCTGTGTAACCTCGAAGTTCTGCCATTTTTGCTTGCTCCTGCGAACATCATTTTTGTCACAAACAATCTTATTTCCAAATTCTATAGAGACCGGCACAAATTAGAATTGAGTTTTAAGTTCTGACCTTATCGTAAGCCAACCTAGAATTAGGATCCGAAAGAACTGAATACACTTCATTGAGAATGATAGCCATGTCATGGCCAGCAGGACCGGCGATGTCGGGATGGCACTGCTTTTGGAGTGCACGGTAGGCTGCCTTAATCCGCGACGAATCGGAGGTGTTGTCTATGCCAAGAAGATCATAAAGATCAAAATCTGTTATTGAAGAACCTGCCCTGCATGCCAAAGTATTGCCATAAAGCATCTTGGAAGTTGAAGAGTAGTACGATCCCAACTTTCTTTGAGTTGGATACTGTATTTTTGTTGCAACAATGGGCGTGTACAGAGGAAGCCATGCGGCATTCATCTTCCTAGTTTTCAGAAGGATAAGAGAGAAGAGAAGAGAGAAATAGGTGCTACTTGCTAGGAAGATATTTTAATGACAAGATAAGAGGAGGAGGTGAGATATTTTGATGCATAATCCGTGTGAAGGAAGACTATTGATTGGGGATTTTGACGTTGGAAAAGTCAGCAAAGCAATTGAAATCTACGGTGCTGAGCGGAAATCATAGAAAGCTTTTCTAAGTTTCATGAAAATGCCTCAATGATAAACTTAAATACCTTTGTCTTTTGCACACACGTCCCATCTTTGAAGCGATAAATCCGCCATGGTTCACGTGGGAAACTCATAGGCATAACACAAGTAAGGAGGAACCCATTTCTCAGGTAAATTTGGATAATTGTGGTGTTAAAGGAATCAAGAGACACCAATCAGGTCATACAAACAGCACTCCTGATTTTCTGAATCTTCGATCGGTCTCATTTGATCGATAATTAAGTTCAGCATTACGTAAATCCGCTCGGAATCACCATGTGTCTTATCATGAGCTATGAATCTATGAAGGATTCCAAATACTTCAACAAAACTAAAACCAGGAGATTTCTTCACTCCCCTCCTTTCCATGGCTTCTCTGATATTTCTGGCATCATTCCAACGCTTGTCTACTGCATATATATTTGATAAGCCAACATATCTACCATCATGATCTGGATCTAACTCAACAAGCCTCCTTCCTACCACTTCTGCAAGGTCTAGTTTACCATGTTTCATGCACCCACTCAGGAGAGCACCTAACATCGACGACGTTGGTTGGACGGTCATTTGACATAAGAATTGATACGCTTCCGATACTTGGCCGGCCCGGGATAAGGCATCTACCATACAAGCATAATGCTCAACCTTTGGAGTCATACCATGTTTATGAAGGCAATCAAAGAAATACCAAGCCTCATTTACTAATCCTCCATGAGCACAACAGCTTAACAAGCACAAGTATGTGATCTCATCAGGCGCAATCCCTACCATTTGCATCTCACTAAACAAGTCCATTGACTCTTTTATCAGCCCATGTGTTGCCAAACCTCCAATTATAGCATTCCAGATTAGAACATCAGTCCGTTGCAGTGGACATGCACGAAACGCAGCCAAAGCTTCATGTATGGCGCCACATTTGGCATACATGTCCACCAAAGATGTCAGTAGCACAATAGTGAATGGCAACTCATTCTCAACTATATAACCGTGCATCATTCTCCCCTGTTCAAGTGCACCCAAATGGGCACAGGCACACAGAACACTCACCAAAGTCACCTCATTCGCCATGGGCCCAGCAGAGCGCATGCGCTCAAACAGAGACATCGCCTCACCATATTCCCCGCACTTAACATACCCATCGATCAAAGAGCTCCACGACACAACATCCCTCTCATGCATTAAATCAAACACCTCCCTAGCAGTATTCACGTCCCCACATTTGGCATACCCATCCAACATAGCGTTCCAAGACACCAAATTCTTCGTAGGCATTTCGTCGAACACCTTACGCGCCAACGCAATATCTCCGCAAGAAGCATACATATGAATCAATGAATTCATTACGAACCTGTCAACCTCATGCCCAGTTTTGGCAACATGAACATGCACCGCCATTCCAAGCTTCCGATTCAACAACTTCGCTGTCGCCTTCCCCAGAAAAGGATACGTCATATAATCAGGGGAGACCCCATTCCGCAGCATCCTAACGAAAACCGTAATTGAACGATTTGGGTTTCTGGAATTTGAAAAACCCCTTATGAGAGTGTTCCACTTGAATGTGGTGGGATTGGGAAGATTCAATAACAGTTTATATGAGTAGTCGAGATCGCCGGCGGGGGAGAGTGCAGAGAACGAGAGAAGTTTCGATACGACGGCGTCATCTTGAGAGGCACCGAAAGTGAAAAGCAGAGCATGGATTCTTCTTAATTCGGACATTGATTTGCATTTGTCGAGAAGAGAGATTAGAGAAGATGCATTCATCATCGTTTGAATGCATTCGACACTGCAGCCAACGGATTAAAGTTGAGTTTTTTTAAAATAAAATAATATTAAATATTAAATTTAAATAAATTTTTTAAAGATCAAAATTTCAAAATATGAAACTAAAAATTATTATTTTTAAAAAAATTAAAATTGAGAATTGCCTTTTGTAACAACTTTTAAAATAATTAGTATGTTTGGTAAATTAATACTAAATTATTGTGATTTATATATAATTATTTTTATATTAATATTTAATTTATAATTTATTTTAAGATAGTTGTTTGAAAAAATTATATTATTTAGATGTAGTTTTGTTTGGTCTAAACTATTTATCGAAAAAAGAAAAAGGGAAAACAAATTCTTATTTTCTATATTTGTTTATTTTGAAATAATAATAAAAATAGAAAAAAGAAAAAGGAAAAAGGTGCGTCTGTTTGTTTGTTCTTGCTCGGCTCTAAAAAATTATATAATCTTCGTCGTGTTCTTAGATTCTTCTGTTACTATTAATTTTTTTCTCCTCTGAAATCTTTGATTCTCCTTCTCCTAATTCTTCATATCATCTCTTTTCCATCTTCCATTTGTCAAATCCAAATCTCCCTTTTCTCTCAAACCTCAAATCTCCTTCTTTTATGGAGAACGAAGCCACCACTAACGCCACCAAACTTGGTTTTGATGGAGTCAAGCCACCGCCCACCACCGCCTCCTCCGACCTTGAACACAACCCTAATTCCAATTCATCGCCATCGTCTGCAGACCCCCACAATGAGACTACTGGATCCGACTCCACTTCTCGCCAATCCGCTAGAACTCCCTTTACTAACCTCAACCAGGTCGATGCTGACCTTGCCCTCGCACGTACCCTTCAAGAACAGGTTCTCTCTATCCCTCTTTTGATGTCACTGTTCCTACTTTGTTGTTGTTCCTGTTCAATTTGTGGTTTCTTTTTTGTTTCTTGTTGTTCTGTGTTCAATTCGGTCTGTTGTGAGCTGCTTTGGGAACTGTGTGATGGGAAATCCTATCTTTTTTGTTTCCGTTCGATTTTTTAAGGAACTTGGTTGCGTGTGGACTCGATGTTCTGCTTTGTGGATTTGAACTATCGTGCGAGTCTATTTATTGTTTAGATTCTGGATTTTGTTTTCCTTTCTTGATTATCTGATTGTATTTTATTGTTCTTGATTGCTGTGATTTCTAGCATCGGCTTCATTTGAGTTCATTAGGATTCTGCTAGTTTGTGTAGGGAACACTTGGGGGAGTTGTTAACAAACACCAATCATACAATGAGCACGCTTTTGTTACTTTCTTTTATCTCTCAATATTGATTTACTAGTTCATTGGGAGCAAACATGCGTTAGTGAATGCAAATTGTGTTCATCTTGATCTGGTAATGATGATTTTCCAGCTTATGGGGGTAAGAGGATATAAGAAAAAAGGGTTTTAGTGATGTTTTCAATTGACAATGATTAATTATGAGCAGGAAAGGGCATACCTGAGGCTTAGAATGGTGAGTATGGGGATTGATTTTGGTAGTTGGGAAGATGGAAGTTATGCATTAGATGACGAGGACGGTTTTGGTGATCTGCACGATCATACAGAATCTGATGGAGATGATGATGAGGAGGAGTTTGATGGAACAGATGTCAATGATGACGACGATGTGTTTGATGTGCATGCTCGTGAAGATGGTGGAGAGCATATCAACCCCAGCTTTGAACTTGATCCTGGTAATTTTTCGAGTGACGAGGCTTATGCTAGAGCCTTACAAGATTCTGAAGACAGGGAAATGGCTGCCAGATTGATGGCCCTTGCAGGATTACATGATGGTGAGTTTGCTTGGCCATGTGTCTCTCTATGTAATGCATTATTACTTCTGTGGAGGTCTCTAAACCATGGAGGACTAAAATCTTTTTTATATCTTGTTGCAGAGGAAGCAGATGACACGGATGATCAAGGCGAAAATTCTCAGGTACATTTATATATATATATAGCTACCCTCTTTAAACTCTCAAGTGCTTCATCCTTCTACCTTGGTCATAAGATCCAACCCTTCCTTTATTTGATTATCATTCATATTCCCACAAGCTCTACCATACGATTCGACATTATCATGACACTTTATTTTTCTGGAGAATCTGGTCTTGGATGAATAAAAGGATTTTTAAAAAATCACTCTTCCTTGGATGTTTTTCAGGATCTTATCAGACTACATATATTATATATATAGCTACTCCTGTTTAATCTCTCAAGTGTTTCATCTTTCTTCTATGATATGCACAAATTGGGATGTTCTTTTATAGCTCACTTGGTCTATGAGGCATTTCTTATCTCTTGTATTTTCTGATTAATGATACTGTTCTTTTCCTAAAAAACTGAAAACTGTACTGTTTGTGTCTATCTCGACCTCTGTTACTCCTTCAGAAAGTGTCTACAAGTCTATGTTTCGTAGGCTGGTTTCCGACATCCAAAAGCCCTTCCAAGAAGGTGTATTTCTAAGTTGTCGGTACTATTAGCAACATGAACTAGAGCTTCAAAAGCAAAGAGAAGTTAAGTTGGTGGGATGTTAGGCAAAATGGCTTGTGCCAAAACTCTCATGGAGATAGCCACCATTTTTCACATTTGCAGCTTTATGAGAATCTTTTCTAAGAAGCCAAAAAAATCTTGAAGGATGATTAAGGTACTTTGTGGCTTTTATTTAAGCCATGAGAAAAACACTCAGCCATAGCAGTTACTTCCTTCCTTGACTTGCAATCCTTCCTTGACTTGCTACTACCATTTAATCATATCTTTCTAAATTTTTATGAAATTGTCTTTGAAAATGTTTTGACCCTTAATAAAGAACTCGTTCAAATAGCCAGCCAATCCAAGAAGAAATAGCTGTATTTTGGATTTATTACAGCCATTAAAATATCCTTTTTGTAAGGGCCTATGACAGCCCCAGAAACAGGATTCCTTTGAGATCTCTTGACTAAAGCCTTCTTCATTTGTCGAGGAAAAGAAAATTTCGAAGTTCTTGAATTACTTCCATTTGTTGCCCCATTGGATAAACATAGACAATTAACAGAGAGCACCCTTAATGATAAGGTGTCATCTATGTGTTTTAGAGCTTTCTTCTGTTTAATCAGCTATCATTCAAGCTTCTCTTCTCTGTATTATCCAACAACGATGTCTTCTCCCTTGGATCTTCCTTTTAATGGATGTTATAAGTCCATCATTCTGACTTTTAAGGATCTTCTTTATAGTTTTCAACTTCAGCATGAGGGAATGGCCTGTTGAGGGTGGTTTTGGTAGGCCAGTGATTGAAGGTGACTGTTGCCTTGTAGCCCCAGAATTCTGAAATTATATCTTTCCATTATATCCACAAAAATGTCTTTTCAATATCTTCGGAACAACTGAATAATTATTCTGTCTCTCTTATTAGACTAGGTGAATTTTTTATTCCGAAAGGCATGTCTACGAGTAGACGATTTGTATAAGTTAATTGAAGTGAGAATAAAGGGATGATTCAATTCAATAGTAGCCCGGCTTTAATATCCTATGAGTTTCTTTGGCAACAAAATGTTATAGGGTCCTTTTGGTGCATTGTCCCGGGAGAATAATCGAAGTGTGCACAAGATCATTGTTTGGTAATGTGGAAGTTACCAACCCCATAACCCAAAGTAGCATATAGCAAAGGCATTTGATTCTTATAAAGTATATCTATCCATGAAAGAGATTGCGATCTCTACTTCTTTCACTTCTGCTCGTCCTGCTTCTCTGCCTTATCTTCCAACTACAACTCTACCTGCCGTGGAAGGTCCATCTGTTTCCTCATAGTTTGTCACAGCCCTCCCTGCAGTGTGGATGAGGCCACTTTTATAACCTTTTCCTTTGTTGTCCAACCATCAAATAGAAAGATCTTCTAATGCAGAAGAAAAAGTCCCAAGAAGGGTCAGTCCAGATGCAAAATTTTTCCAGAACAATCACAAACGCAACAATGATGGTCAGGATGAGCGACTTGATGAGAGTTCGTAAGGACCTCACCAGCTTCCTATCTATTAAATGTGATTTGTGGTTTGATTTGTGATTTGTGATTTGATTTTGTGATTTGTCTGGGGGGATTGGTGCCTTTGAGAGAAGTCATTTTGTTAGTCACACCAAAGGCATGTTCCAAGCTAGTATCTGTGTTGATCACAATCTCCTGTCCCTTTTGAAGGAAACCTTTTAAACTCTTAATATTAGATGACATATCTGATTTATTGTTCTATCAAAATACTCATCAAGGCTTGGTTTGCAGGATACATGGGAGGATGTTGACCCAGATGAACTGTCGTACGAGGTGAGTTTGGTGATGGAGTGATGCCCATGCGTTATAATAGTTTATTCTTGAGAGGATAATTAATATTTCAGGAGTTGCTCGCATTGGGTGAAGTGGTAGGAACTGAGAGCAGAGGGCTATCTGCTGATACAATTGCTTCCTTACCCTCCATAAACTTCAAGGCAGGGAGCGGTCAGACTGGAAGCAATGATTCGTGAGTGATTTCAAGCAGTTTTGGTTTTCTTTATCATTCATGTCTTGTTTACTTAGCTTTTGGCTCTCATTTCTCAGATGTGTCATTTGTCGGTTGGATTTCGAGGACGATGAAACCCTGACTGTTCTTTCCTGCAAACACTCCTACCATTCGGAGTGCATAAATAATTGGTTAAAAATAAACAAGGTATGCCATTTTTACATGTGCCTTCCCATTAGCAAGGATTATTGTTTTCTTTCTCCTGCAACTTCTGCTCTCCGCCCCCTAACCTGCGGTGACGACGTTACTTTTGTGCTTTGCATCGATGCCAACAATAACGTTCATATGGTTACCGAACCAGGGATATATCTAAAGCTTGCTTGCTGCTGCTTTTGTGCAGGTCTGCCCTGTTTGCAGTGCTGAAGTGTGTTCTACAGCTGGTGGGAGCAGTTAAGTTAGTTGTAGCATGTGCTATGGAATGTACCAAAATCAACATCTCAAGAAGTTAAACGACGAAGGATTTTAATTTTTGTTTTTTTTTTTTATAATCATTTTGCATACCCATTTCCGTTCTGAGTATGTGTGGAAAATGTGTCTGGTGGGTCGTACAATCTCCGGTTTGATTCTGTAAACCAAGCCAAGGTATCATCATCATCATGTGAATCTCTAATTTTTTTTTCTCTTGCCTTGGCTTGGCTTCGGTGTTTAAACATAAATTTGGCCGCCGCCGGGGATGGCCAGGTTTTGTTTTCGAGGCCATTAGAAAGAAACTCGCACTTCCAAATTTGATGCTCTTCGGATGTGAATCCTATGATTCTTCTGTACTTCCACTCCTCCATGTATATGATATCATATACAACTCACTCCACTTAATACTATTGTTGAAAACTATTTCTAACCCATGTTTTTTTTTTCTTTTTAATTTTAATCAAATTTTGGACAATAAATCGTTACGATCAAATTTAAATGATTTGCAATAACTCTTGATTTAACCATTATAATTTTTTTATGGTTAGTTATGTAATTACATTTGTTTTCAAGTTTCACATAATGAATGAGAATAAGGCATCATCATTATAGAGTTCATAATTCAATCAGATAATACATGAAAGCGAATGGAGATCTGACAAATATTTACCTTCACTATAAATCATTTAAACTAATCCTGTTAAATTGGTAAAACAAGTGAAGCTCAAGCTCGATAATCCTAAAAAAAAAGATATTTGTAAATTGTAATGACAGAAATTTCCCAAGAGAAAACGAGAAATGTATGGAGTAAAATATATTATAAAAGAAAGACGAAAATATAATATATTATAAAAGAAAGACGAAAATATAAGAGGATAGAACAAATGTATCTATTTTTTAGTTGATTCACTTGCATGCTCTTAAGACTCTATTGTATAACCGATATTTATAAATAAGAATATGTGTAGAGCATGATTATGAGATTCATATACAATATATTTTATAACAATTAGAGTGAATGGAATCTATAGGCATTTCCTAATAAACTCACATCATGAAGACTGTGATCCGCCAAGTTTTACCAGTTGAATCTGCATAATGTGATCATCGGGAAACATCCTCCAACTTGAAACATCTCCTCCCACCCTTCCTAACAACTTGGGGATTTCCCTGTAAAAATATTCTTTTCAGGTTTAATTTTATTGAAGCTGAAAGTGAAATGAAAAGAGTAACTCATGTATCTTATTGTCTCAAGAACACTATAAATATTCAAAACAATTTAATCTAAAAACTGTCTCAAGTAATTTTACATTAACTTGAGGTCGTCGAAGGTCATGTAGTCATTTCCTATCATTTGAATCTAAAATGCGTTACATATTATTATGAGGAAGTTAAAAAGAGGAAGACAGAAAAAACTTCCATGGGGTTCCAGGATATCTTGTTTAATTATCTGATTATCCCAATAACAGAAAATAAGCGAAAACTAGGGTTCATGATCCAAAAGAATTGACACAAGTAGTGGCTAAGAGGGAGTTTTCTAAGGGAAAAAGTGGCAATCCCATAATTTTTGGATCATGGTTAACACAAAGAAGATTCAAAATCTAATTATGCTAAAAATAGAGTCCAATTTTGAAGGCCAGAAGCCATTAGAAACCTCTATATAAACACCCAGCTGAGGATTGGGAAAGACACAGCTCCGGGAAGAAGCTGCATAGGCCAGTTCTTTTCGGGGAATGACATAAGACAGGGGTTTACATTTTTTGTATTAGTTCTTTCTATTTTGTCTCAGTGGATTTGAGGATCTATCAGTTTCTCTTATATATATAAACTATTAAGGTATATATATACACATTTCTCTGAAAGATCCCCAAAAAATCCACTGGTGAAATCTTTTATCCTTTGAAAGAACTAATATAAAACTTATTTTATACAAAGATTATATCATTTATCTGTACTCTCAATCCCTTATATTTTATAGAAAAGAAAAAAATAAAAATAAATGGCTGGAGGAGGAGTTGTTGTTCAGGGAGGAAGGAACTATGAGGGTGGAGTCACTCTTTTTGTCATCGTCACCTGTTTGGTGGCTGCCATGGGGGGTCTTCTCTTTGGTTATGATCTTGGAATTTCAGGTTTGTTTGCTTAATCTTTCTATTTCATTTATGGGTTTATGGAAGGATTTTGTTTGAACTTTTTGGTTTTGGGTTCTCGTTGGCTGGCAGGTGGGGTGACTTCAATGCCAAGTTTTTTGGCTCATTTTTTCCCATCAGTTGTGCTCAAGATGAAAAGTGCCCATGAAAGCGAGTATTGTAAATTTGACAGTGAACTCCTAACATTATTTACCTCTTCTCTTTACCTGGCTGCTCTGGTGGCATCCTTTGGTGCCTCGATCATCACCCGGAAATTTGGCCGAAAACCATCCATGTTTTTTGGAGGTCTTTCATTCTTGATTGGCTCCATCCTTAATGGTGTTGCCAATAGCATTGTGCTGCTCATCATTGGCCGTTTGCTGCTTGGTGTGGGTGTTGGATTTGCGAATCAGGTACTATCATAAACAGCCAAATCATCTATATGAAAATGAATCAATTCAATGCAGTATTTGCTCAGTTTGATTGATTGATTGATTGTTGAATGGCTTTTTCTTACTGTTTTTTGGCGTGCAGTCTGTGCCAGTTTACCTTTCTGAAATGGCTCCAACCAAAATCAGAGGTGCTTTGAACATGGGCTTTCAAATGGCCATCACAATTGGCATTTTAGTGGCGAATCTTGTCAATGTCGGTACAGCCAAAATCGAAGGCGGATGGGGATGGAGAGTCTCACTGGCTCTCGCCGCAGTCCCCGCCGTGATGATGACCGTCGGAGCCATGTTCCTTCCCGATACTCCTAACTCCATTCTCGAAAGAGGATACAAAGAGGAGGCTAAGATTATGCTCCAGAAAGTTCGCGGTACTGAAAAAGTCGAAGAAGAGTTCAAAGACCTACTCCAGGCAAGTGAAGCGGCAAAGAAAGTAGATCATCCGTGGAGCAACATAATGAAGCCACAATACAGACCTCAACTCGTGATGTGCGCTTTAATCCCCTTCTTCCAGCAACTCACCGGTATCAATGTTATCATGTTCTACGCTCCCGTTCTGTTCAAGACTCTCGGATTCGGCGACGACGCATCTCTAATCTCCGCCGTCATCAGTGGCGGCGTCAACGTCCTCGCAACCCTAGTTTCAATCTTCACAGTCGACAAATTCGGCCGAAGAATCCTCTTCCTCGAAGGCGGAGCACAGATGTTTGTCTGCCAAATCCTAGTCGGAAGTCTAATCGGCGTCAAATTCGGACTCAATGGAGAAGGAACCCTAACAAAACTCGACGCAAACCTGATTCTACTACTCGTGTGCGTATACGTCTCGGCATTCGCCTGGTCTTGGGGACCATTAGGTTGGTTGGTACCTAGCGAAATCTGCCCGCTCGAAATCCGATCAGCAGGACAATCAATCAACGTAGCAGTGAACATGTTCTTCACCTTCATCATCGCTCAGGTTTTCTTGTCGATGCTTTGCCACATGAAATTCGGACTGTTCTACTTCTTCGCAGGGTTTGTAGCGATAATGACGGTGTTCATCTACTTCTTCTTGCCGGAGACGAAGAATGTGCCGATTGAAGAGATGAACAGAGTGTGGAAGGCGCACTGGTTCTGGAGCAAGTACATCCCCGATGAGGCGGTGATCGGCGGCCATATCCAAGACGAAAAGCACCGCGGTGGTGTATGAAGCAATGGATAAAACAAATGCGACAATGCGAACTGGAGAAACCCAAGCCTTGTAAAAATTTCTTTATAATCTTCAAGCCTCACGTACTTTATTCATGTTTCTATTTCTTGAGGCGCTTGTTTTTCTCCATGTACATTTCCACTTTATTACATAATAAATATTTATTTATTCCCTTTTTCTTTTCCATAATATGTATTTAATTTCTCCACCTACCACCTTTTTTATTATCACTAAATTCCTTTACAAATTTTAAAAAATTTTAAATCCGATCCACCCATCCACGTGACTGGCTGTGAGATCGACCCAACCCAAGTAGCTTGCATAAGTACCTCATTTAAAATCGTTTCTAAAGAATTGTGAGCCTCGAAGGTGTAGTCGAACAAATGGTGTACTTTGTTCAAGAGCTCCATAAGTCTCTGAGGAAAACGAAATAAAGTGATTAATTTAGTGGAAGATCATGGGTTTATAAGGAAAGACTATTTCCACATTTGTTTATAAGGAAACAAAAACGAAATAAAGTTTATATCAATTAATAAATAAATAAATAAATAAGGGGTTATTATCAATATTGGTTGAAATAAAACAGCTTCCGTAAAGGAAATAAAGTTTATAATATCTTGATTGTGACTTTTTATTTTTTTTCTATAAATTCGATTTTTTTTTTTTTATAAAAAAATCAATTTGCGAGGCATGTGGGTAACTAATTATTAATGAAAATGGGACATCGCATCCAATGGTGACATCAACTTTGGTTTGGTAAGCTGAAATCGTTAATTAATAAAATATCAAATTTACTTTTACAATTTCAAAACGCCATTTTCTTAATCAATTTAATTAATTTACCCTACCCTCCATGAATTTACTTTTTCTCATATAACAAATTTACTACTTTAAGGTAAAATATAACCCACTAATTCCATTACTAATAAATATAGTTCGTTTTATAGTCTCAGTTGGAGAAGGGAACAAATCATTTCTTATAACTGTGTGAAAACTTGTCTCTAACATATGTATTTTAAAATTTAAAATATCTATTAAATATGAGTTTGGCATGTTACGTGAAATATCTAGTAGAGAAAACATTATTCTAATATCACATATTATATTTTTTTTAGGTCAAACCGAAATTAAATTGATACGAGACTTTGCTTTAAAACACATAATATTACATCATTTTGAAAGTATAATAAGTTATTTAAAATATCTCATTGGTTGTTGCATTTTAGAGAAAAAAACGATGAATAACTAATTAAAGGTGTTTGGAGACTGCAGCTACCTAATTTTAAGTTTTTTTTTTTTTTTTAATATATAGATTAAATGTGATCCTTGAGAGTTTAATTATGGTTAAGCTGCCAATTTGCACCAATTAAAATATAATATTATAATAAAAAAATTTATAAATAAGTATGGATTCAATAATTTTAGGGTATGTTATTCACTAAACTATGGTCGTGTGGGTTGACATGTTTTTTTTATTTTAACGAATAATTTTTTAAAATATTAATAACATTAATATGAATAGGCATGATAGATGACACCTAATGCTAACTCAATTTAAGTCTAAAAGTATATAAGGTTTGTTTGGTAGGCCAAATTCTCAGAATTTGTTGAATGTGTGTCATATATTATGTGACCTAAAATTGTAAAAAATGTGAAAAAAATATTTTTTTTTATTAATTTTGAAATGCAATAAATTTTAATAAATATAGTATTTTCTGTGAGATCTCGGAAACAAAAAATATATATATTTTTTTTTGTAAGGACATGGAAACCTCTCCCTAACAAACATACCATTGACAACATCTTAGCTGTCATTGAGCTTTTAAGAGGTGGATTGTGAGATTATACATCGGTTGGATAAATGGTATTAGAGTCAGACAACGAGCGGTATGCTAGCGAGGATGCCCTTATAGAGTGAGCTGTGAGATCATAAAACGGTTGGACAAGAGAAAGAAACAATTTTTATAATAACTTGGAAACCTAAACCAGATTAATGGGAGAGTTTTAGATTATAAACTCAATTTATTTGCCTAATTTAATTTTGTAATTATAATTAACTTCTTTTTTTTTTCTTTTTGAATTCTTGGATTTCAAATTTTTGTTTTCAGATTTCCTGCCAAATTAGCAAATTTGTATGTTTTTTTTTTTTTTCTCTCAAATTAATTTTGATCATTAAAAAAAGAAAATCAAAGGGGATGGATTTCTTCCCCAAAAAATGAGGTTTCATAGCAAAAATCCAAAACTGAATGGGTTTTTTGCTTGAAAGGGATTCCATAAAACATGGATGCATCCATATTTCGCTTTGTTCTTTCATATAAATTCAACCAAATTTCCCCAACTCGAGCAAAACTCAAGAACTGATCACATTTTCTTACAATTCTTCTCCAGAACATATTCAAGTCATGAATCTGCTCTGTTTGTAACCCTTCAGTCAAAATTTTAAATCTATTTTCATTGAAATCTGAACTGTTCTTACCGTGGAGAGGATGAATATCCACGCAGTCTCAATCGGTGGTTGGGAATTTGGCTTGGTCGTGTGCAGCGTTTTCATGTCAGTTGCGTCATGATCACGATGAGTCAACTATCCCCAAATTCACTGAGTTTAATTTCTCTGGTCAACAAGCGGGACTTATTGCAAATTTTGAATGGCATCTGTTCTCCAAAATCAGACAAAATGGAATGTACTCCTAATTCTTCATCTTCTTCTTCGCAAATTCTGCAGAGCAGCGTTGAAGAATAGAGGTTTCTTCTTCCATTTTCAGCCATTTTTGCCTCTTTGAACTCTTTAGCTCTGAAAATCTCAAGTGGGTGTTGTTGCTTTACACTGCAAATTTCATTTTCTTACATAAAGTGAAGTTTAGGATTAACCCCAGAAGCTTCTTCTCTTGATTTCCTCATTTCTCGGTCCCTTTCTGAATGATTATGAAAAATATTCTCTCTGATTTTCAAAGGGTTTTTTTATTTCTCCTTCTTGGTGTGGCTTTTGGTGTTCGTTCTTTCCATACATCCCTTTCCTTCTCTGATCACACACTAACAGGGAGACACGTATATTTAAAATATTTGTGTTTGTGTATTTCTCGTTTTGTTTGCAAAGACTTTTGGGTTGTTACTTGTTAGCATATTCACGTATTTGCTCCAAACTACCAAAGGGTGTTTTGCATTTTCGTTTTGATTGAGTTTTGTTGAATTTGTTTAATTAAAAAATGGGTTTCTTGAGTAACTGGCATTCTTAAGCAACTCATCGTGGATCTGCGAAGTCGTCGTATTTGAATAATAAAACTCCCTTTTCTCTTGATATGGGATTTTAATATACTTTTATTTCTCAATCCGTCTTCTTCGTTGCCTCTAAAAGCGGTCTGTGGGCGGTGTCTTGAAGAGATTTGAGTTTGGAGTAGAAAATGGTTCTGTTCATCTTTTGAATACTTGACCCTTTTGATTATGGATCTGGAAAGTGGGGTTCGTAGTGAAAAGAATGCCAAGGTAAGTCCAATACATTCTGTAGCATGCATTTAACTTCGGGCCCTTAATTTCCATTTCTCTTTTGAGCGATTTCGCTTAAAACCCATGTCGATTTCACTGTTTTCGTTTCTAGAAAGAGTCATGGAAGGCGGTTTTGATGATGGCTTATCAGAGTCTTGGGGTTGTCTATGGCGAGTTGGGTACTTCGCCTCTGTATGTCTATAAGAACACTTTTGCAGAAGAAGATATCGGTCATTCGAAGAGCAACGATGAGATTTATGGCGTTTTGTCCTTTGTTTTTTGGACCCTCACCATTGTTCCTTTGCTCAAGTACATATTTATCGTTCTTAAAGCCGATGATAATGGCGAGGGAGGGACATTTGCTCTGTATTCGTTACTATGTCGACATGCCAGAGTTAACGCATTACCCAATACCCAGTTGGCTGATTCTGAACTCACTGATTTCAAGATGGATGTTCTTGGTCCACAATCTCAAGAAAGTTTTGGATTCAAACTCAAATCTGCCTTAGAAAAGCGTCAGGTTCTGCAAAAATTCTTGCTCGTTCTTGCTTTAATTGGGGCTTGCATGGTGATAGGAGATGGCATCTTAACACCAGCTATTTCTGGTAATCCTTGCTAATTTTTATATCATTGTTTCAATTTCTGTTTTGATTTGGATGTTGTTCATCATTCATTTCTTGATTCAACTTCCCCTGTCAGTTCTTTCTGCGGTTTCTGGCCTCGAGCATACCATGAAGATAGAGCATCACCAATGTAAGAATCTACACTTGTTCATTTTTCATTGGAATTTGGCTTGTTTGTGTTCTGAGGACTGGAAGTAGAAAATTTCCAGTGTTTCCCGGTGGCGGAGGAGGAGGAGGAGATTAAAGTAAGAAGTGAATTGCCATGAACTTAAATCTACCCATTGTTGTCCAAACTGTTAGTTGTTGTTTAGAAATGTTCTTTTGAGCTTTCAACTTCACTTGTCTTCATATGAATGAGAGGTCACTATCGATTGCTATCAATCATCATGAACAGTTGTCAACAATACTGATTGCTATGCTGTACTTGGAAGACCCTCATCAAGTCTCATCCCAAGTTGCTATCTATTGCATTGAATTGTAAATTGTTTAGATAGGACATAGCATGCCACTACTTATATGACTGTGGGAGGGTAGTGTTTGAGAAGGGGGAGACTGTGGAGGAGGAAGAAGTGAGGAAAATGACTTAAATGATGAATAATTTTGAACAGCTGTGTAGGAATAAGGTTGAAAATTAAGTGCGGGTCAGCGGGACGGTAGCTATTTGACCTCTCCCATTTGCTTGGAGGAGTTCTTGGCTTTTTTGATGTGGTTGTGGAAGACTTTCATGGTAGATTTGTGCTTGGTAGAAAATAAGATAGGCTGTTGAACTTTGCTTACTATATTTTGTTAGTTCTTGTTCAACCAGTACCCCGACCCATCGGTTTGTTCTTCCAGTTTTGCATTCTGCTGTAAACTTTTGGAATCTGTAGGAGTAGTCTCTCATGAAAATTGATGTTCCTGCAGATATAATA